CCCCCCCCCCCCTCTCCCAAAAAAAACCCCCACTTGATTGCTTGGCTCTAACATGACAACAATTTCGTACCCAGTGGTGGTAGTATCCGAGCCCGTTATGTCTATCTACTTCAGCTGATAAGCCTAAAAAACCCCCACAAAGACAATGCAAGAATAGTTCATAGAGCGAAAAGCTGTAAAGCCTTAGACAATAACATGATAACTGGAAAGATCTGGGGTACACATGAACAAAAAGGTCTGGAGCATACATGAACAAGCCACTCAGTTCATCCAAACAGGACGTTATCCTGAACGTTTGGTCGAAACAAAAAAAACAAATTTGTCAGAACTCTTTTGAATTCAGAAGTAACTTCTAACACGGAATATTTCACGTTAACTAACAGTACCAATAGTATCACGTACATAATTATACAACTTGAGTGTGTGCGTGAAGTGAGTGTGCGTGTGTGAGTGTGTGTGAGTGAGTGTGTGGTCATACGCATCCAGAGATCTACGAGCATGCACGTGTGGTGGCCCATGGCCTCTGCTCAGCTGTAACAGGCACACTTTTTTGTGTATGCTAAAACATTTTTAACTCTCTTTAGTCTGGTCTACCTATGAAAATCTTAGCCAACTCCTCCTAGCCATGTCACCCCTCCCACACTCTGAGCAGCAAGGAATTTCGCCTGACAATAACAGCCTGACAGAGGCTACGTCCTTCTACAGTTTTTTGCTTTTTTGGATCCTGACCAGAGGCAATGGGTCCGTACCAAATTGTCCTTATCTAAGTCCTTTTGGGATCAATTCTTATAAAAGATAAAGTTAACAACATTTTATTAATCCAAATGAAAGCCTCTCTCCCTATTCTTTACCATTGAGCAAATGATTCTTCTTCTACAGGTAAAAGATCAGAAACAGATATCGCCCGTCATGCTTCGCCGCTCAGTTCTCAACTCAGACGCTCTCACAAAGAAAGTTCTAAATTCTCCCGGTCTACTCCCATCACCCATCCCTTATGTAAGTAGTTCTTGGTCAGCCTCTCTTTCTTTTGCCTTCTGCATAGGAGAAGAAAATCTAAGAACAATTAATATTCCCCCTCAGCTTTGTGGAAACAAGACAGCTCTGTTCCCAGCTACTCTCCAGTACCAATTGTTTCATCGGTCACAGCGGGACGTAGACTGTACCGTTCAACACCTGGCAGTAGTGACAGCCGGCACAACCAACATGCTTGTAAGCAGGGAACAGCGGGTTGGGAGACAGAGAAAAGGTGTCTGTCTTAAAGCTTGTGCAAATATCTACGCCCAACATATTCTTCCTTCCATATAACAATAAAACAAAAAAAATCTGTTTTCTTTTTTTAAGGACATAAATGATAACATAAGAGATATAAACAATTTTTAAAAATCTTTTCCGGCATGGAATATAATAAAAAAAAATAAAAGTGACCACAGGACTCAGATGAAAACATGGGAAAATAAACATGTGTCATGAACAAAAAGTGATGATAGAATTTAGCACACAACAAATTTGTACTGTACTGATCTTACACTCCGCAAGAAATCCCCCACAACTAAAATGATCGACCAGGTAGCTACTGAGGCCAAGGGTGAGGGTTTGAACATGCAACCCTGTGGGTGGTGCACCAAAGACAAAGTACTGCGCCCCACACTAGTCTTCATTCTGCCAGTGCTTTAACATACTTAAGAAAACCTTTGCCTAAATTCTAAAAATGGCAATAAAAGTTGTGCTCTTGTAACTACTGTGGGTCAGTAAACTCATGAATGTGGAGAAAGCGAAGTGGCAACAGTACCCGTGGACAAACTGACCGTCTGCCGTTCAAAAAAGTGCAACCTTTCGAAGAATCAAACCTCCTCCACCGTTGCGCACGCCCCAACAACCAAGCGCAAAACACCGAACTCAGAAACTGTAAAAGCCTCACAAAAAGGAAAATTGCAAAACGGGCGTTTATCTTTCACGTCTCGTGTCACGCGTAAACACACACCAGGGACCCCTCCCCCCAGGGAAACCAGCCCCTCTGTACGGGCGCCAAGATGCATCTCGATCTCACTGTAATGTCACAAAAGTGCAGCACCGTCTGACGACTACTGGCCAGCTGTCTACAGCGGAGAAAAAAAGATTCTACAACTACGCAAAGCTGGTTAGGATACATAAGCAAAGCTGTAGGGGGGGGAGCGGGATGACAATAAATGAATAACATTTGAAAATAAACAGAAAGAAAAGCAGAGGAACAGCAGTTTAGGTATAGGCTGTCACTAAACATGGAAAGCAAATAGAACAAAGCTGAGTTACTTTCAAGACCAAACCACGCGAAGAGTTAGGATCTACTCTAGGAGGGGTCAGCAGGGAGGTAGCTAGAGAGAGTACCCAACAGTGTACGCTGACCATCAGGTCTGAGCCAAGCACATCGACCCGACAACGGTCACTCAGTACAGGGAGATGGCAAGATAGACAGATGGGAACAACAGAGGGGAAGAAAAGAAGAGACAGACAGAAACAATAGAGGGAATGAAAAGAAGAGAGACAGACAGAAACAACAGAGGGAAAGAAAAAAAAAAGAAAGACAGACCTTCCAGACGTGCCCTCCAGCCTCCAAACAACCCACAACCTTATCCTTCTCCTATTCCAAATCTGTTTCAAACTAAAAGTCATTTACACAACCACTTCCCAATTCAAAGAGGAGATACAATCTTAACTAAACAATCTTGTGCTGTAGGTAAAAACCTCAGAGTTACGCCTCAGACAAAGAATAACACATTGACATAACAAAAGTTCACACATAACTCAAGTCTCGAACCCTTGACTTGAAAAAATCAGCTGAGTTGGTAATCGGTCAGATGTCACCTCTGGCGCCTTCAACCTGATCTATGTCATTTACACGATGTAAAGACAGAAACTGTAAGAACACTTGCATCTCTCCTTCACACACAGAGTGAGAGAGAACAGAGAGAAAGTGGGTAGGGAGGGAGAAGGAAGGTGGGTGGTAGAGGGAATTGTACCAGAAACTATATTGAAGAAGGGAGTGGGAGGTGAGAGGGGGTGTCGCAGGAAGGACATGGGAAATGATCTCTCCGGGAGTTAAAGGGGTATATATATATACCAATATTCATACTTTTTCTTGTCCTATCCTGTCAGGAGAACTGGACAAATGCAAGGATCCTACGGAAGGTTTACAGTACAAGGTATAACTGTGTCTGTCTTTATGTCAATGGACTATATTGAAGGTTTACAGTACAAGGTATTACTGTGCCTGTCTTGAAACGGTGAAATGGTATAGGTTTAACGCCTCTATCATGCCAGTCTATATGACAATGGATCATATGGAAGGTTTACAGCACAAAGTATTACTGTGCCTGTCTTTAAAATGGTGAAATGGTGTATGGGTTTAAGTCCTCTATCAGCTGACTGTCTGTATGACAAGGGACCATACGGAAGGTTTACTGTACAAGGTATAACTGACTTCTGACATTGGGAATATTCAGGATTTTTTGGTAACCCAGGTGTGTGTTTCAGGGGAGGGGGGGTACGTTTCTGTCTATTTAGTTGTGCGGGTACGCACACAATCTATTTCTCGCTTCAGTTTCAGCTTCTTTTGACTGTGTCCACTACTGAAGTTTTTCAAACTTACTTGAATGGAAACATGTAAATATGTATCTTTTGTTGTAAGCATAAACAACTGAGTTACTCAAATTTTGGAGGCTTCAATTATACTGACAAAGAAAAAAATAAACAAATGAGTAAAATATTTGAAATCTTACCAATAAAAAAAATGGTGCAGTAAATTATGAATTTTGAGTTGTGAATGTAAAATTCCAATTCTGACCAAAATGTCCATGCGCTGCTCCCAATACTTTTACCACAGCACCGGGAGTCAGCTCTCTATTATTGCAGCCAACCACTGCCTGGAAAAGTCCCCCGAGTGTTTTACCAAGACAGTGAGAAAGAAAGAGACTTCCTGCTACATGGAGTTAATGGGGTACTCGTGAAAGGAGTTACTGAAGGCCCTCTAGGTCGCCGTAGGTGCATGCAAACCTACGGGGGGGGACAACTCATTTCTTCAAGCTGCGGTACGTGTAAGCCGACTTGCACATTCCGGTGGGACTTTGTGTTACTCAGCACTATAGTTGTGCTCATGCACTTACAGGGTATTGGACAAATCACAAACAAACCTTTGAGAAAATACTGTATCACAGTCCACCATTGTCTCAGAAAACATGATCAGAATTACTCATTATTTTAGAAAGCTGAAAAATCTCAAGACAATATTTCTTACAATATTCCCGCTGCCTCAAGTTAAGAAATATAATTTGCCTCATTTACAGCTGACTCTAGTAAATTAGTGCAGGTATGAACGTATAAATTCTGTAAGTTTCAACGCCAAATTAGCCGGTTTTTTAACATGTACGTTACAGGAAAGCTTTAGCGCATGCAGCACGCAAGTTTTGGTGAGTATGTCTGGATTACTACCATAGCACAGGGGAGGGGGAGGAGGGAGAGGGGGAGAGGGAGGGGGAGAGGGAGGAGGCAAAACATGGGAGGTCAAGAAGCAGACTTGCGTGCGCTCAGCTTATTATTGCTAAAATTTGGCCAAGCATCTGAAAAAGGTCATACATCTAACAATTTCTGCACTTTTTGGGGGTCCCGGGGGACAAACTTCCTTTCCTTCGGGGGGAGAATGAAGAAGGACTCCAACTGAAATACAAAACAGTCCAGGGGAGAAAAAATTGGGCAAAGCTGTCAATGAGGAATGATCACATGACATACAACATCAACTCCAACACTTAGTGGATTATTCAACAGGCAAAAAACAAGGAGAAGTGAACAAAAGGCAGGAGGAAGAAGACGACGATATGATGATATATTGTCTCACTACTCAGGTTAGAGAAAAAAACACACACACTAGGAGGTGGGGAGAGAAGCAAATGTGGAAAACAGGAACGGTAGAAACAAGAAGAAACTGGCAGCCAGAGATATATATATATATATACGTTGGTGCACATGGAAAAATATAGAGGGGAAAAAACAACAACAACAACAACAACAACAATAATGACCAAGAAGCAAAAAACACCAAACAGTGAACAACAACAACAACAACAACAACAACAACAACAGATGCAGCAGCAGCAGCAGCAACAACAACAGCAACAACAACAACAACAACAACAACAGATGCAGCAGCAGCAGCAGCAACAACAACAGCAACAACAACAACAGATGCAGCAGCAACAACAGCAACAACAACAACTCGGTGACACGACTAGCCGAGTACAAGACGCAGGATGACCTTGTGACTGTCAGCTTCTTTGTGTCATCTCCAAACACACACGACTGACTGACTGACACACACACATACGACTGACTGACTGACTGACTGACTGACACATACGACTAACTGACAAACGTTTAGCTTAGATAGGACATCTCTGAATTCACCCCCCCCCTCCTCCTCCAAACACACTCTCTCTCCCAACCCCCTTCCAGCTCTAAGCGACACATTTACCAATATTTGAAACCTTCTGAACAAACTACTCTAGATAACATACAAGAAATTTCTGCTCTGCTTTACAACAACTCTGATGTTGAAAGACTTCTAGATGACATAAATGAGACAATATAGACATAGGCCTACACTGACAGCTTCTGGTTTTACAAACGAAAACACAGACAACATAATAACATAACACAATAACATAACATAATAATGAAACTAAATACTAGATGATTTAAAAACTCTACTTTCTCATACAGTCGGCTCCAAAAGCACAACTGGTGAAAAAGACCGTTACTTCAAAGTTGGTTACAATTTAAAGTACTTTTAGATATAAAAGCAAAAAAATGACATTTGATTTTTTTTATAAAGCTGTGGGCAGACTGACAAAAAAATGTATAATAATAACAATATAGCCGTTCCCTCTGAGTTGTGGCAAATGAAAAGAACCATAAGCAAACAAAACCTGTGTCCACACCCATGACAAAAACACAGGACAGAGTCCCAACAGTCGGACTGTACATACGATAAAACCTGGGACCAAACAGACAGAGGTGGAAATACTTTGAGAAGAAGATGATCTCCAAACACGAGAAATGACCAATTGATGAAAGACAAGGAAATCATCACAGAGTGCAGGAGCTTTGAGAGACAAAAAAAATACCTGATTGTTGGTACTTTTGGCTGAGATAAGTGGAAGGAGCTTGAAGGTGGCCTATACCCTGCCAACGGTGAAAGGCATCGATGATGATGATGATGATGGTACCTTTGGCTGAGCCACTAGACACAAACTGAATCATTCTGAAGGTTTCTCACGAGACCAAAGATGAGATCAATTCTGCCATTAGAGGAGGAGGAAAAACCCTCAAGGGTTGAAACCTCAAACATCCGTGTGCCGGTCAATTTGTAACTGAACCCTGCCACAAAGGACTAAGTAAAAAGGCCAAGAAGTGAAGACAGACGTAACTTGTTCCTCAGAGAGGCTCCCGACCCTGCCTGTCAGGACCAGCCTGGGCTGAGAGCGAGGGGTTCAAAACTCCAGCAAAAAGACAAAGATACTTGATTAAAATCTCTCCCAACTCAGGAATCTACTTCGGGTCTCTTGTGTGCGACAGCAGAGTGCCTAACCACTACACCACAGGCTCCAGTCTCATTTCTCGGCTAGGACGCTGGGGAAAAACCCAACATTATCCTAGGTTGGTTTTTTTGTCCTTTCATCTAGATGTAATCTCACACCGAGGGATGATTCTGTTTTAGGTCTATGACTCTCTCTCTCTCTCTCTCTCTCTCTCTCTCTCTCTCTCTCTCTCTCCTCTGGCGCTGTGACGTAATAAACGGTAAGCGATGCCGACAGCACGCAGGAACTCAACACTTACTCGGGGGTCCTTGAACAGAGCTGAAAGTGGGTCACTGAAATGTCCCCGCAGATGTCCATAACTCTATCAGAGAGGTGTGTGAGATCGTCTTTAAACTTTCAAAAAAAGCTCATCACTATGAGCCCACTAGTTGGGAGATGGAATGATCCAAGCAGAAGGACAAAGATTGTGTACGGCCGGAGCCTGTCTGTACTGAGATGTGACAGTAGCTGCCATGGTCCAAGTGTTGGGCAGTAAGGAGGACACGGTGAGTCATTTCCACGCTGGTTACATGGCGTGAGACAGCAGCGAAATCTTGGATAGGGTGGACAAACACACAGAGGACACAGCATTGTGACAGTGACTGACACAACAGATTAGTTATACATACACACATACAAACACTCACAGCAGAATATACTGATGTGCAACCTGTGATTTTTAAAAGTGCTTGGGAAAAAACCCAAAAAAAATTTCAAAATTAACTGCTTTACCTACGATGAAAAAAAAAAAAAAAGAATGAATCTATTTCCTATTTCCCGGAGTTGAAACCATCGTTAGACCAAATCACACCTCAATCCAGGAAAAGCCGAGGTCAAAAAAGTTAAAAAGGTTAGGTGAGAAATCTGCGAAAAGCGAGGTGCTGGTTAGTGTATGGCTGGGGCTGCTCTAGATCTCCGACACTTTGTGACAATCCAGTTGTTCATTTCAGTCGTCGTGGGAAGTTCTATGTATATCTCAGCACCCGGATCCCCATACGTCTACTCAGATTAAGGAAAACTACTAGCCAGCCAGCTTTGAATGCTTGACGTACAAATAGTGTTCTGCTCCCATAACTAGAATTCCAAGAAAAAATTCCAGTTTATCTCAAGTCTAAAATTAAAGAGCAAACAGAAAAAAATATACAGAACACATGAATGAAACCAATCTTACCATCAACATTACAACCATCATCTCGAGAGAGAAAAAAAAATAAACTACAAAAAATCTGTCCAAAAGCTAGCACAACATTGACAAATGCACGAAGTTTTATGATCCAGAAAGAAAATGAGGACTTGCAGAACATGCTACTATCACACTGAGGCAGAAGGGCATAGTACACTTGCCCGGAAAAAGTAGACGAACCAAAGTTTTCTAAAATGAAAAACTTCTCTAAACGTGTCTATGCTAATACCTTTGAAGGAATCAAAACAAAGAAACAGATGAAGGAACACTAACAGAAGAAAGTTTGTACACGGGTATGCTTACTGAGTTACGACTGCGAAGTCCTGTTTTTTTTTCCAACATATACTGAAGCTTCACGAGGGAAAGGGACACAGAGACACTTTGAGACACTCAAACAAACAGTTTACGCAGCACAAATCCTTGCATCCTAATCCTCAGCAGAAAACCTGAACAAAATATTGGGTCTTCCAAAAGAAAAGTGAGCAACGAAATGTTAACGTTAAAAATTCTTAACCAACCCTTGAGTAAAAACAAAGGTGTAGCAGTCATCAGCTGTTTCGATATAACATTAACTTCAGGGCTGGACCAACGACAGACACAGACAGTCGGAGACAGTCGGAGACAGACACAGACAGTCAAAGACAGACACAGACAGTCGGAGACAGACACAGACAGTCGGAGACAGACACAGACAGTCGGAGAGACACAAACAGTCGGAGACAGACACAGACAGTCGGAGACAGACACAGACAGTCGGAGACAGACACAGACAGTCGGAGACTGGCAAGAAGACAGTGGGAGACATGCTAAAAAACAGTCTCTTCCCTCGTTCTGACACAGTGGCAGAACAGACAAACCCTCAGATTAGAAATTTGTCTATTCAGTAAAGAGAAAGCACATCGACACAACGACGAAACAATGATGACACAATGACGATACAACGGCGGTGATTTAGTGCGAGCCTTGCTGTGTTTGTCGCGTGTCGTGCATCCAGCAATCGCGACAGCCTGAGAGAGACGACCTACTGTGAGCAGACATGGCCACACAAGGACAGACACAGACACCGAGCTGAGAGGCAAGCTCTCGGGAATAACCCAGTGACAGACAAACCACACAGATCTACGCATGACAAAGGCTGGAACCAGAAACCTTCCACACAGAAATCCTTTACATAGAAGAAGAGAAAAAAGAATGATAGATCTTTTCAACACTTCAGTTGTTATGTCAAGTAGACTGCAGCTAAAGCCTGACTGCGTTACACTTACCAACAAAACCAAACAACATACAAAAATCACAACAGTTCAAAGTTTTCAGCTAGAAAGCTATAAAATTATCAACAAATACCTTGACAAGATTTCTAGTTCAAAATTCAACACATAAATAAATTAATCGCTCAAATCTCGCAACTAATTCAAAAATTATATACATGAAATTTCTGTAACATTTTTATTTATCTTATGTTGCTTAGAAGTCACTGGTTAGAAAAACCTGTCGTATCCTACAAGAAATGTTCTTGAAATCTACATCTAAGAGGAGTGAGCATGAGTATGTTATAAATTAACTCTCTCTATATATACAATGTTATAAAGTTTCTCTACATACAAAGTTATAAATTACTCTCTCTATATACACAGAAAGCTGGAATTGATACTGCGGCCATGCACACATCACAGCTCTCCAAGTTGTGCACAGTAAGACACTTGGCATCAGACACACAGAACTGCCAACTTTTCCACACCAAACACACAGACTCTCCCCACTCCAGCAGATCAAGACAGTGGGCAGTGGCCAAGTTGACCTTCTCCAAACCCTTCACACATACTTCCCTGCACTCAAGAAAATCACGCTATTTCATTCTCATCATTATTCACAAATACCGTCTTGACAGCCCAGAATTTTTCTTCATTAACAGAAACATCAGGAGGAGCAATACTTGGACAACAGAATACCTATTTTCCGATATATGAAACAGACTCCCGAACTCAAACCCTAAAAAACGTATGAAGTATGTTAATTACGAACTGGTTGGCAGCTATGTACACATATCACATACATCTATTGGCCTTCATCAGACGCATATAGAATAGTGCATCATCATGTGAGTATCTGTTGGCCTTCATAACACACACATAATACCACAGGACCATGTGTGCATCTATTGGCCCTCAATAGACTATCATAGAGAGAGACCAAAATAATCTCATGAGTACATCTATTGGCCCTCAATAGACTATCATAGAGAGAGACCAAAATAATCTCATGAGTACATCTATTGGCCCTCAATAGACTATCATAGAGAGAGACCAAAATAATCTCATGAGTACATCTATTGGCCCTCAATAGACTATCATAGAGAGAGACCACATAATTAGGTGTACATCTATTGGCCTTCAAAATACTGTCATACACACAGACCACATGACCATGTCCAGTCGCGGGCCAACAACAACAAGCGCTGCCAGACACGGACCAAAGTCAGAGAGAGGCGAGCACAATCAGACGGAGAGCGTGAGACCCACCACGAGGAATTCCCTCTTGTCTACGATCTGGTTCCCGTCCGTGTCGAACATGTTGAAGGCGATCAGGAAGCCGGAGTGGGGCTCTGAAACATAAACACAAAAAGCGCGACTGTTAGAGATAGAAGAATTACACACTCGAAACTGTCCAAGACAGCCAGCTGTGGTCGAGGCAAAAAGTGGCTGTCTTAGACAAGTGGTTGTCTTATATAATGTTATCATCATCATCAATAAGTTATTTATAGAGGCATCAGCCATCCATGTCCAGGTGCTGTTTCAGCCATTATACAATGTCATTATATTATTATTATTTGTTTAATTTTAAAAAATACTCAAGGAGGAAATGGGAAGCGACTATAATTTGTGTGAGTGATAATTCTATAGAGCGGTTCGACTGTATATAATATGACGATGAGTCTCCATTCATTAGTCTTAATTTTTGTTTAAATAAAGAGAAAAACATGGAACTGCTGTTCCACACAGCCTGAGATTTGAGATCAATTTCTGAGAGGAAATAATTTTTATCAAACATCTCAATCTTTCTGTTGTTGGGGAGTTGTATCCCTCTCAGTTGGAGATACTCAATTACAACCAAAAAAACCCCCACAAAACCCTCAGCACATGAGAATCAAACTCACATCTTCTGCAGGCAACAGAGATAATAATATGTCGAATCTAACCGCTCCACCACAGACTCCAGTTAAATAAATTAATTGTTTAAGTGAAGAATCAGAACAACAAAAAGAAGGACACAACAGAGTAGGGCAAAAAGTGACAAGAAAACCAGGTGAGAGATGGGGCAGGCAGTGTGACGGTGATGGGGCAGTGTGACGGTGATGTTACAGCCACAGGTCGTTCACCCCCAGCCACCATCAGAAGTGAAACCGGACAGAAAGAGAAAAACATTCCTAGGTAAGTGTACGGGTTTTACATCTCTGTCAACACTATTAGGGGAACATCCTCCATCTGTTAAACAATCTACGAGGGTAAGGAAACAGACAATGATGGGACTCACTTTGTTGTTTTTGTTTAGTTTTAGTAGGGGAAGGTTTTACGGCGCTCGCAACTGCATAAGGACATATGAGCGCCAAGGGGTGTTTGTCAACAGAGAAGTCCAAACGGGGAATCGGGCTTACTCTACTCACCTCTCTTGCCTCAACAGCACAAAGTCTGCTTTGACTATCAAGACACCCCGGAAATAGCAGTTCACAAGAGAGTTAAAAACATAATTAAGAAAAAGTAGAGGGAAAATGACGACAGTAAGGATGAGGAAAGAAAAAGCAGCAGTTCCCTGACTGTGGTAAACCTCACTATAATAGAAGTTGACTATCCCATCCACCGTATTGCTGACCACAATTCCACAAGGAAACTGTTACAATATCTGTGGCATGGAGAGATGGAGAGATGGAGAGATGGAGAGACGGAGTAATAAATATTGGATAGGCCTATTGCTTGTTCGGTTTTCAGAACGCTCATTGTTTTTCTAATTTGAACCATTGAACTTTCTTTTTTTCGGGGGGG